AAATCCCTTGAGATATTAATAACAATGAAACAACCGCCATCTTGGTTGATCTAACAAGAGAGGCTAATGAGGAATGCTTTGTTATCGTCAACCAAGATGGCGACTATGACATAACATGCAACTGCTTTATCATTAGAGCATGCATGCATCAAATTCCTTCTGAGCTAACTTGTCAAGTCTGACGTGTCAATCGCGTTAATTTCTTTTGCTTCAACAGGTCACGTGACTCAACCCCCATAAAAAGATAAATTGTGTAAAAATTAACGTCAGAAATGGAAAGAGCGCCTCGATATCAGTGAGAAGCCAAAGCTTCAGCTTTTAAAACAGACGAAATTATATCATATTTATTATTTTGTGATCATTTGTATGGGAAAATGTCATCCATACACATCCTTATATGTCATTTCTCCTATAGTGAACATTATGAGCTAGGATGTTGTACCATAGTTAATAGAGGGGAACCCTCTATTAACTATGATTGTACATATTAATAATTTGCCGTTAAAGTTGCCTCATGACATTAACTCAAGTATGTTAGCCGATGAGACAACTATTCTTGTCCGAGGCCCTGCTTTCTCTTCTATGAGTACTCAGTTTAATGGAGTCATTAAGTAATATTTCAAACACGCAAGAGAGTTCTCCCTTTGATTTCCAACCGAAAAGTGAGTTGAAAAAACGAGGCGCAGCCGGAAATCAAAGGTAGAACTCTCTCAAGTGTTTCAAATTACTTCTCAAACTCATGAATATTTATTGAAGAAAATCAAAGAAAAAGTTTACGAAATTCAATGCAAATTAAGAACACATTTCCAAACCACCGTCACAGTAGTGATTTGCTTTGATTTGATTTGCAGTTTCCTATTGTAAATCACTAAGGCCCCGTCCACACGTATCCGCAAATTTTTGTATCCGTAAATTTTACGAAAACGGATACGTGTGGACGGTGAAAACGATTCGAATACGCTGCGTGTGGACGCAAACTTTTTCGTATCCGCAAAAAATAATTTGCGGATACAAAAATTTCCGGATACGTGTGGACGGGGCCTAATGTGACATAGGTTTACTGTTGAAAGAAAGAAATATTATTATTATTACTTTGTTTTCTCCTCATTAAATATTCATGAGTTTTAGAACATTTGTTTCCACTTTGGCTGATAATAATAAGATGTCACTAAACACTATAATAACAAAATCTTTGCTAATCACGACTTTCAGAAACGCCATACATTAACTAGCTCAACCACAGGGAGCCCGGCTTTGGAATCTGTAAATGAATAAATAAATAAATAAATAAAGTGCTTTGGGTTTCCTGTGTTGAGATTTGAAACAAGACGCCAATGATAAATTAATTTTGGGTTTCCTGTATTGAGATTTGGTAACTTGACAGAGCAGCTTATAACACAGGAAGCCCGGCTTGGTGATGCTAAATCGGTAAAACGATGACGTTTCATATGTTGATGACATTACATAATAATCGTAACTCAATACACCCCTATTACAAACGGTCACTACATAATAAGAACTTGTAATGCAATAGTGGTAGACGCTCTCTTCTTAACGCGTGCGTTACGTATTTGAATTTATCACGGTATTAAGTTACGCGTTACAAACACTGGTGTTCTATTACGTAGTGACCGTTTGTAATAGGGGTGTATTGAGTTACGATTATTATGTAATGTCATCAACATATGAAACGTGATCGTTTTACCGATTTAGCATCACCAAGCCGGGCTCCCTGTGCTTATAATTCAAATTTAACGTATTAGTGTAACGCACGCCCTAGTAAATGGTACGTGCGTTACAATACGTTACGTTAATCTGCTATCAAGTTACTGGTTAGTACGATTACCGGAAATTCAACGTATCAGCGCCTTGTTTCAAATCTCAACACAGGAAACCCAAAGCACCTTATTGATTAATTTATTCATGTACAAATCCGCCGGGCTCCCTGTGGCTCAACACTCAAGTAGAGCAAATGCTTGGTGTCATGACAGACAGTAGCATGTTATGGGAACATCACATTGCCATGATCTGCTCCATCCTTAGTAGTACGCTCTCTTACGTCGCATCCAACCCTATCTAAACTTTAACTCTGCTTTACGATTCTATACTCCTTGCATAAACAAGTACTTCATATATTGCTTCATGCTCTCATCAGCTACTAGTGCGACTCCTTCTTCTTCAAGGGTGGGCTGTATGTACACTCCTTGACACTGACTTCTCTTAGTCGGTCGTTTCCTTATTCTCCAAACTACAGTGGATATCTATCTTTGATCTCATTAAATCCAGAAAACTCACACTTCTTTTCATTATGCACTTCTTTTTTGTTGTTGTTGTTGTGGTTGTTGTTGTCGTTGTACTTATAAACTCTTGTGCAACAAGTTGTCTCAAAAGAAGATTCAGTTCCTTTCTGAAACACATGATACTTTAAGCCGTCGTACCAGGGCAGCTTGCTACGAGTTAAAGGTGCCATATCCTTGCAGCAACTCTGGATAGCGAACATTAATTTATAATGCTACTAAACTTTACAATGGTCTTAGTTCTTATCTCAAATAGCCCTCTTTTCTTTCGTCGTCATTGACTCCTAAACCTCTGGCTTCCACTCATTCCTCTATAAAGTTTAAATTACGCAATTTATTTAATTCGCGCATATCCTCGGTTGAGCATCTGCAAGATCTCATGTGCTCCAACTAGTTACTCTATAAGCTGTAACTGTTTCGCAGCGAAACCCTATGAATAAGTATTAATAGAATAACTGATTGTCCATATTTAACAGTTGTCTATATATTTTATTTCAAACCAATCTATGGTATTTATTCTATGTATTATTTAACATATAAAATAGTTTTTCGTGCTCCGTTCAGTAATAAAGCACGCAGGAAGTGACGTAAGCACGAAAGAAGTGTAAGAAGAAGCACTCGAGTGCTTACGGTGCTTCCTAAGTGCTTTATTACTGGAAGGACCACGGACAAAGCTGCTTTATTCGTTTTATTATATTGTCACTTATTTTATTTCGGTATTTAATTTATTTACGCAAAAAGAAAGACGATCGCAGGATCTAGCAGCACAGTTTTCTACCAATCAGCGTGCGTGTACTTCGTATTATTATATTTATGCTTCGAAACAATATTATATATACCAGTACTTATTGCATATATCATTTAATACTTTATCTGGTACAGCTATTCATTTTTTGGGAAAGCCGTAGGTTAGAAAATTGTAAAAAGTTATGGCGTTTCTCTCTTGAAATAAAGTTATTGTATTGTATTGTCAGGTACCGCGCGTTGCAATGCGCGCCCTGTGCCTTGGACCTAACGGTTCCAGTTGCTTGGTGTAATATCATTTTCCCCTCTCGTGTGACCGACAAGCAACCGTTATGTTTAAGGCACAGCGCGCACATTCAAGCGCGCGGTATCTGACGACGGGTTCAAGCTTACTCATATTATGTACGGCGGTAAATAATATAACAATGAAAGGTAAGTGCCCCCACCACTGTCCGCTGTGTGGCGCGCGTGATATTAAGGTGACTGCCCACTTTTGAACGTTCGATTTGAGCCCACGATGTGCGCGCGCTCAAAAACCGCTGAAAAATCTACAAGATTTTATTGAAGAACCATACGCGTTTTAAGCTTCAACAGGGCAAAACCCTCAAATTTTGCACGGGACTCTCTATTTTTTAATAGCTCATTCGAAAAAACTCTAAAAAATCTTGCAAAAAAAATGGAAATCATTTTTTACGTTTTGAATCATGGCACTGGTTGAGGTCCTGTGAAGCCGGTCAGAGGAAAAGGTTTTTCAAAGGACTGGGCCTCAGTCAGTGACTGGATCTTGAATCACAAAATTATTTTTTTTGAATTTTCACCTTTTGAAAGGCCATGGATAATCTTAATTTATAGCAAAAACATGCCCAATTTCTAAAACTTGTTTTGCTCTTCTAAAAGCCCGAATTTTAAGTGTTTTTTAATTTTGGAAAATCCAGAACCGCACATAGCTGGAATGGACTGGACTTCGTTTGGCTGGTTCGTACGGAACATAGACGTTTTTTTTACCCCGAATTTGCAGCTTTTATTCTATGATTTTTATTTTATCATAAATAACTAGTGATTCTATTCGGACATTTTGCAAAAAAATGCATTAAGATGCTCTTAGAGCTTGCACTGCGTTTTCCCAATATGCTGGTATGCTGGAGGTCATTTAACACCTAATCTTTGTTATGTACTGCTGTTTGGAAGGAGCAGATACGTTGGAACATCTTAGGTCTATTTTTTTTCAGGACTTGCGAACATKTTTTTTTTCTCACATCAACTTTTAAATGTGTTTTATTTTAATAAACATGTACCGATTTTGTATATCTTTTAACCAGTGAAGTGGAATGACAATTATTGTTTAGTAAAACTATACAGATATGGTTTTGTAACCGGAGAAAACAGCATTGAGTTACCAACACCACAAAAGTTTTAATAGGCTCCATCTAAAATTACACTGACAGACAACAACTAAAATTGACCTAAAGAGCTGGTGAAATAATTATACTTATTTCAAGATACATGGCCAAATAAGCAACATAAATTCGTTTAGAAATAATGTTTAAATGGTCATTTGTTTTTCACTAACTGTTATGAAGTTCTCGATCTATTCATTATTGATTATATTCTTCAAATATAGTCTTTTCAAATACCCAAACCAGTGAAGTGGAACTGTGAAACTCGGTTAGTAAAAGGATTCAAAACTTAGCGAAAAGTGTTTATGGCCAAAGTTACCAGCTCTATTACTGCGTAGTATTTATTGATATATTTATGTATACACCTAATTCAAAAAATAAGACCGAATTGGGGCATGGGAAGACAAACAATTATACTAATTCCATGCGTATTGCAGTTTTCCCTTCCTGTGCACATTTTATGCATCATGGCTTTGGCATGTTGTTAATCTAGGTCGACCGACTTTGCTCTACTGTGCATTTTTACATGTCTATATGCAAATATAATACACATTTTGGAGTACCCAAAATCCTTTTTGGTCTTAGCTTCAATGATATGACCTTCTCGAACCCGACTACTGTTTTTCAATTAGGTGTATGCCTTCAAGATTAACTAGAGACTGAAAGCTATATTTTCCTTTAGGCTCTACTAACCCATGTGATTGAAGACATACTACTGCTGACTGAGTAGCTGTATTAATACCAATAAATATCTGAATTACAATCCTATAAAGTCTTCTTTTACTGCTCAATTATATTACTTCTTAAGTCCGGAATTACATCCTCAGCTGGACTGCCACACACAGGCAACCCAGTAATTTCATTTCCACTATGTTCACTTCCAGTTTTGTTATTCCATGAGAATTAATTTGTAATGTTGCCCTCAGAACGGTTGCTGGGAAACTGTACCAATTTGATAAATATCACGTGGCACCATCTTGGCCAATGAGAAGAGAGAGAAATTGGGCTTTGACATACATAACTATATTGATTGGAGCCTCAGGAAAGCAGTGTGTTTAGTGGTCCCTCGACGACAAATGTTTGACCCGAGGTGAATATACTTGGTATGTAACAATCTCACTTGCCTCTTAAAACCTTACTTTCCACTAGTTGTTTGAAGAGTGTTGGATTATTGAGGTATAAGTATTCTCCTAATTTCCCATGTTGTTTGGTTTTCCAGTTTATGCCTGTCAAGAACAAAATAGACAATAGATTATGATAGATTATGTTTATTTAATGTAAGAGTGGGAACAGTGGGACCATAGTTGGAACAGTAATGATAAAAGGGTATATTTTACACCATGAAAAGATGAAAAAACTGACTGACATTTCGGACGCTAGTCCTTCATCGGAGTAAAAGAGAGAGACGTTAACTATAAACTATTGACTATGGTGGGACTATGGGACAAGTTGAGGTCATGGGTGTACCTTGATAAGCCACCTCGACAAATTTTTCACAAATCATCCAATAGTGTTTGAGTATTTAGACAATAGATTAGCGGCAAATTTTGAATTTAAATATTCTTCCGTTGTTCCGGTTGGTAAAACTAAATGATGAAGAAGAGCTTGTATTATATTTTCTTTGCAAATTAGTGATTTGTGTCACCAAAGATATAGAAAAATAGTAATGTACAACTTCAAATACGACAGGAAAGCAAATTATAGAGACCGTATAGTACAGTCTTTATGATTACAGTTTGTTTCTTACAGACAAAGATATTATCAGGCTGATAGATCTTATCACTCACTATGTTGCTATGTGACAGCACGTTTATATTCGACAACAAAGGTGCCGGCAGTCTTCTAAGCCATGTAAACCCATGGATATTTGTCTGATTTGTAGCAATTCTATTGTTCAGATTCCTACTTTTGATTGGCTAATTTGTCAAAAATTTGTCGAGGTGGCTTTGGTTGGAGTAGTCGCACTGTAAGATTTTTTTTTTCAATGGCACTGGCTTGATTTCAAAGCACAGCTCTAACAAGTGCTAGGAAATGACCTCAAATCCCTTCACCCATCCCACCCCAGGCCTTATGTGAATAATGATAGGCTATCTTCTTACCAAGTCTTTTGGCTAGACTTTCAATCTTGATTTCCGCACCAGCAATGTCATCCTTACTTCCCACCATCATCTCAATTTCCCCGACATTATAGCCAAAACTTGCAGAGTCTAAATCAATAAACAATCCATCTATCTCATATCTCATTCGCCTCGTTTTGAACGATGCAAACACTCGCAACCTCGACCCTGTGACGAACTCTTGAACGGATTTCACACTTGTATCCATGGAAACATAGGTTGCTACCGACCTTAAAATTTCTTTTTCGTTATCAACCTCATAGTAAGAGTCCGTGGTTGTTGATCTTGATTTAGAATGCTTGTCTCTATGCTTCAATTCCCAAGAATTATTTCTCTCACGGAGCCAACAATCTTGCAAACTCAGTTTAAAATCAGTAAAATCGTAGTACGAATCTAAAAATTCTTTCTCCATGACTAGGACGGCTCCTACTCTTGCTAATACATCCTCAAACGATGGCGGAACAGTGAATTTCTTCTCGACTTCAATCATATTTATGATATGTCGTGAGAAATATTTTATTTTTGAAGTTGGCGCTCGAAGTATAAAAGTGAAGGAATTTCCGCCATCTTTGAATGACACGAATGTCATCATGGGTAAATTGTGCATACCAATATCACCCAGCCCCTACCCCCTACGAGTCAGTTTTACTACAATCCCCTTACTCACAAACAAAAAACCCAAAAAACTATTCTTGATATTTATTATGATTAAGTAAGTATAAACTTACCAATTCCATTATTTTTATTCTATAAATATGTATTTTTCATTTTTTTTTTTTTTGGTTTGTATTTTAACTACTACCCGGGGTAGGGTAGGGATAGTATCAAAAATTGGTATGCAAGTCGGAAGTAATTAGAAGACAAGGTCAAAACTCATTGTCTGTGAATCTGCTGCTCAAAAATTACTTATTATTAAATTCCCAGCGAGGTAAAATGAAGATTTTAGCCTCTGTTGGTCATTACTGATGCAAACTGAATCCTCTCAAGCCAGAAAAAGGGATTTTAAGTCCTTACAATTGTTGGAATTTAGTCCTATTTTGTCGTCACTCCCCTTCGGTTTCTTCATTGTAGCAACTTGGAACAGGAAAGTTGTGGCTAAAGACCTCACTGTTTGAGCAATGGAAGGTGGAATAGTACGTATAGCTATCGAAAAGGAAGGCCAACTTCCTCAGCTTATTTTATTCGATCAGGTAAGGCGACATTTTAATCAAATGATCAATATATTGTGAAGCTTCCTTTATCAAACTCAGCTTCACACAAGACTGTTATGTAGACTCAGTTAAGCTTATGATTTAACACTTTTCTTTCCTCTATAGTCTCAACCGTTAGAAAGTATTATCAAAGATGCTTGTGCCAAGTAAGTTTGAATATTTTATTACGCTTTTTCACTGAAATGAAGCCTGAGATAAAACTAAGTTTCGCGAGTACTTCGAGTTGAAGCATCACCATAACTTTGAAAATATTCTAGATTCCAGTAAAGTTTACCTCTCAAAAACGAAAGAAAAATCATTATATTGAAACTATTCATTATGCTTATCATTTTTTATTCAAAACCTGTTATCAAAACGTTTAATGAACATTAAGTTATAATGGTGTATTTTTGTTTTGACAGTGTATAGTAAGTTATGTAGGTGTGCATGTTAGATCAAGTTAAAGTACCTCTGTCAATTTGAATCTTATCATGTCCTTAGTGATAGACAGAAAATAAGAGTGTCTAATCTTATTATGTTTCCTAATTCTATTATTAATGTCTAGTAATGCCCATGGTTCTCAGCTTTCGTTTCAAGAGTCAGATATTGTTTATYTTTCTCTAACTTCCTTGTGCAATTATAGGTGGAACATGAGCATTCCAGAGCAGTATGCATTGCAGTATGCTGATTTCAACAATTATATTACAGAAGAGGTATTAAATCATTGATTGATAATAATTAATTAATAACTGAGAATGAAATTTCTATCTTAAATGAGGGGACCGAGAGGGTAGCCACAAGAGTGAAAATGATATAGCTTATCATGATTGATTTCATATTACACATGCATATATTTTATGTTTGTGGATTTTGTGGCAAAGATTTATTTGACCCTGGTACAGCGGTAATGTTTTATTTCCCTTTTTTAATGAAAATTTACATTAAAAAAAAAAAATTGGACTTTGTTTATAGAGGATAACACTTGACAGTAATTCAACTGATAAACTTGTGGTCCTCTGTTAACGTCTCTAGTTAATTAGGGACGGGACCACCATTAACGTGATCATCCGAGCCACGTGAAGGTCTAACCATTTGCAGATGTAATTACAAAGGCAGCACCTTCTCCTCAGTTATTTTAAGACCCTGAGTGTTGGTCCAGCCGAGGCTTTAACAACGACCTCCTGCATGACAGACAGACGCTCTTACCAACTGAGCTAACCGGTCGGCGGTTTAAATAATAAATAATATCATTACAAATTTGTGTAGTTGCCGTAGTTGTTGAAAACTTGTGTACAAACTTGTGTAGTACCAGAAAATATCAAATGCCTCTCTCGGCAGTCAAGCTGCACACTTTTTTTAATATCAACTTCAATTATTATTACAGTAGCTAGCTACAATCTACCTGAAAAATGGAATCTACCTAGAATATTCTGTGTTTTCATTGAAAATTCTGAACATTGTTGTTTTGTTTGATTATCAGAATCGATTTGAAATAAAGAATGGTACAGTGTTAAAGCTTATGCTATCACCTGTAAGTATATAACTAGTTGGTACCGGATCAGGGCTCAAAAAAGTGGCCTGCCAATGGCCAAATGACAGGACAAATTTCAGGTTTGGCAGGCGAAAATAACGACACGCTGCCAAATGAATAAATACAAATGACATGCAAATATTACTGGAATGACCTTCTTTTTACCATACTCCTTTACTATGACAGGCTAAAAAAAATTTCTATTTCGAGCCCTGTGGAGTTACATGTGATGCATGTTTTTTACTAAAATAAGTGAATGTTACATGAAAGTGACAAATATAAAGCATGATTCATGAATTTTGTGTTTACATTTTATGTACGCTTCATATGTGATGCGGGAATTTTTGAAATATCCATGCGTGAAATTTGATGCCAACACCCCTTTGGCTCCCTAAAATAACAACTAGAAAGTGCCAAATTTGACTGGAAAATGTCTTGCATTCTCGTAAGCTAGCTTTTCCATTGTCGTCTGATAGACTGTAAGACCGTATGTCATTCATTCATTAATATTGTCTTGTTCAACTGGTAACACTTAAGAGGGTACATGTATTAATATCTATGTCCATTTATGTGATGACACGGTCTGGAAGAAAAATGTCTAGCCCAAGTTGAAAGATTGTCTGACTAGGGAGCCTGGCTGAGTCTAAAATATTGGTAACCAATAGTAATGGCCGAGTATGCATTTACAAGGCCCAGTGTAAGATTAGCTTTGCTAAACTGGTGTATTTTATAAATACTTTTTTTAAACCTTCTTTAAATAAAGTTTACTTACTTACTTACTTACTTACAAGCCTTCAACTCCATTGAGCTACAATGGGTGAAAAATTACCTTGAGACTTGTAACACAGGAAGCCCAATTTCTATAGATAACAAGTTTATTCTTTCAAACCCCCTCCCCCTTGCAATGTTGCATGGCCGAACAGTTGGGAGCTGCCATCCAGTAGGTTGGGCAACATTGCATATGTAAGGTGGTTTTCTCCTTGAATTTAATTCACGTTTTCAAGGGCACTTGAAAAGCTATTGAATTTTATGATTTTAGCGAAACTCCTTGAATTTTTGCTTCAATCATTACTTGCATGGTTCTGAAATAGATCTAGTCAGAAAGATTGGAAAATCTGAAAGTTGGCCATGTGCAACCACTGTGTAAAACCTTGGCATAGTTAGCTAAACACTCTTTGAAAATTCATTTTTGGGTCCTTGCATACTCCTTGAATAGTCCTTGAATTTTAAGTGGTTACCTCAGCACGAACCTTGTATATAAACTAATGCATTATAACACAACTGGGTAACCATTTTTTGTTGTCTCATATTTCAGGCCAAGTTAGCTCAAGAAATTTATGACAAACTGCAATCCCCTGCAATAGAAGACAAGAGGAATACTCTCAGTCAGCTCTCAAGCATATCAGAGGTAAATGATAATTACATGTAACTTCATAAGCACAAGATTTTGCACTTTTTGAGACCATCTTTCTATTAAGAAGAGCCAACAATATGGGTTTATATTGACAGCTTTCTCCCAATAAAACTTTTACTGCCAGTAGGAGGAATCGTGATACCCAGATTCATAATCAGAGCTATTCTATTTTTTATATCAGGATCTTACATTCGCTGGGGAATTCATCAAAAGAAAAGGCCTCGGCTTAATTATCAGTATACTTGAAAAAAGACCAGAGTAAGTACTTGTGCAGTGATTGGCTGAATACTTAATATTATAGGTAATACTCTACTGTAGAACAGTGCTGAGGTGCCCTGTCAAATGAGTGTTGACCATCTTTTGGTCAATATCCCACTGTTACTCAATTGCATGTCCACCAGCACCCAGCTGTTGCAAGGCTGATAGTTTCTAAAGAAAATATAATCGTATGATATGTATAATTAGTCAAATTCAGCTTGCAGTCCATCATCAATGCTGCATTCTGATTGGATGAGCTACTACTAGACTATAAGTTATAACATACTAGTAGCAAAAAATGTCAACTTTGAAAGCCAAAAATTGAATGCAGTGTTTAATGAACTTGCAGGAGTGTTTTATCAGGAATTAAAGACATGAGGCCGAGTGTTTTTAGACCTGATAAAACACGATCTGCGAGTTTATTGAACAGCTTAAAAAACTCATGACGTATTTTCTCATATTGTACTGAATTCTTTACGAAATGAACCACGTTTGATAGAGAAAATCCAAGTTAAAGTTTATGCAAATGAAGATGAATCTATATCAGATATAAAACCTCCTTCATGGTCATGATTTCTATTGTGTTTCCTTCATGAATTATTAATGAGTTTTTTAAATTAACTTTGATACAACACTTCTTTGCATCTGAATGTTTGACCCACTAGTCGCATTTGACTAAAGCAATTATTCCTCTCATCCTCATGGCCTATTTATTAGTCAACAGCCCATTAATGCTCGAGGACTAATTGCTAAATATATAAATCTAATTATGTGTATATATATAGTTTAGATTCAATTCTGTATTTTTACATATTTATCTTTGTCTATAGATAGTTTGCATTGTAAGAGCTAAATTGTGTTTGTATTAGGCTAATAAACCCTCATCATCATCATCATCATAATCACCATCATCATCATCAATGTTGTTGTTGTTGTTAAATACCAGTATACTGCTTAACAGTAAACAGATTCTCCAAATAGAGTACGAACACTATAAGTGTGTAAATACCACTAAATACTGCTAAATAATGCTAATCCTATTGTTTTATATTGTTTAATTAGCACTATTTACTACTAAATAGTGCAAAGTGTTGCACACTTTTAGTGTTTGTACTCTACTGTACATGACTTAAACATAAAAATTGATAATTAAAAATTTTTTGTTGAGAAGCCCTGAAGCGATGGCCAGTGCCTTGAAAGCCTTTCAGGAATTAATGGAACATCCTGGAGTGTCTTGGGACACTCTCACTCATGGATTCATCAAAAATGTAAGTTCATGCGTTCTACATCTACATCTACATTTTATTTTGTCCATAAAATCATCAGATAAATGCTTTTTTCAAGTCTTGCTGTCCTTGGCCAATCATTGGCTGACTCTGAATGAAGTGACAGTGAAGCTTGGTTGAAGCATCCTTTGGCATAAAAAATAAAGCCTACTTTGTGTTCTATCATTCTAGTTGACTGTATTTGTAAATAAGAAGAGCCTGACTGATCCTACAGTTTTAAATAGATGCCTATCAATACTAGAATCCATTGTATCCAACAGGTAAGCTAATCATTAGAAAAGGTCATTGGCACAAGCAGGTCACATGACCCTATTCCATTTGAGAGTGACGTGAAAAAGTATGACCACATTACTGTATTCGTATACATCTATGCACTGGCTTTTTGCTGCCGAAAAAGCTTTTACAAACAAGCCATATTCGCATTCAAATGTGTCGGTTTAATCAGGGCCGTAGCACCATACGGTTGGTCTGGTTACCAACTTTCAGGGAAAAAATATAAGAAAAATATTTTAAAAATATAAGAAAAACCAAAAACACACTCGAAAACTTGACCAGTTAGAAATTGGTGGCTACAGCCCTGTTAATATACAAAACCCTGTGCATGAAAGTATGCAAGTTTTGCAAGTCTCATGGTAAAACGAGCAGTCATAAGAAACTTATTATTGTTATTTATCACCACCATTAAAACAATTTCCTCAGTATTGTTAAGGAGGTGGAGTTCCAGCTAATAATTGAAGTTTAAAAAAAAAATTATTGGAGTTCATTGAAGAATGTAACCTGTGACCCAGGTGTGAACTAAACAGCATTGAGACACAGTGTCATAGCGCATGACCCTTGACTTTTACAACTAATAATTATATTATATTTCATTTTTATCATAGTTCTACACTCTATCCATTAGTTGAAAAAGAAGTAATCTTTGATAATCTCATTCAGCATCTACATAGGTGAAGTATACGTTGTGATTACAATTGTTGTTTAAACTGTTTCAACCCCCCACCCCCAACACTAACACAGGCACACTACCACCACCACCACCACTTATTTCATTCAGCATCTGCATAGGTGAAGTATATGTTGTGATTACAATTGTTTAAACTGTTTTACCCACCCCCTCCCCCCAACACACACTAACACAGGCACACCAACCACCCCCACCCCCACCACCACCTCTGCCACTTACCCATGGTAACACAATCTTCTGACAATAAAAAAGGAGCAAAATGACATTTTTCAAGTTCCAAATTACCACTATGTTTACACTTGATTACAGACTCATCTACTCAGGGTTAGCCTCTTATCAGTGTCTAAATATTCACAATTACCAACGGTAAAGTAAAGAATGCACAGCTTCAACGATACAAACACTTTGAAATTCCATGGATCTTGACTGGAACATGTGAATATTCTGCACAAAGTCGAGGCTAACCCTGAGCACTCAGAACTGGAGTATTTGTATGACTGATTAAGTTAAATCAAATAAGTGTTTGTTGGTCACAATAAGACTCATAAAGAATAAATGGTTTGTTTCATTGACCCAGAATTGTTTTATTATAACCTGTAGCTTTTGACCTCCATGGTCATCTGCTGGGTTAACATAAAAAATATTGTGGTACAATTTTGAAAACAACTAGATAACAAAAAAATTCGCAATTTAAGTTTTGAATACGACTGAATTAGCATGCCAGTATTCATTGTTGATTGAGTTATTGAATAAATAGCGTGCGTGTGCAGTGTGCTGTTATAAAGCACACAGGGGTTGGCAGAACACGAGAGAAGTGTTAGGAGAAGCACGACACGTAGTAGAGTGCTTCTCAACACTTCTCGAGTGTTCTGCCAATCCCCAAGTGCTTTAGAACTCCACACAACACAGTGAGAAAGTTTTTTATTTCTTTTATAAAATACAAGGGTGCATACATGCAGTGTGCTCTCATGAAGCATGCGCTCCCATTTATCAATAAGAATGTGAGATTTATAACAGTTATTTTATGTGTTTTCTTACAGTGGTAACCAGGAGATCCAGCTCAATGCTATAGCTCTCATAAATGGACTTTTTCTTAAAACAGATCAAACGCATAAACGAGTAAGTTGCATTCGCTATGGAGAATAATGTTATCTTTGCTGTCCTTCTGGTTGTCATTACTGATGTTGGTAGTGTGCGTGAATGACAGTAGGCTAAATTTGAAGCTAGTATAGATAAATATGTATATTAAGAAATAACACCTTGCAGCTAAAGAGCTGAATTGCGTGTACTATAATATGAAAATACAAACTATGATACGAATATCTATAAATATATACATATATAAAAAAGACTTGTTTACAGGAATTTCAATTGATGAAGAAAAAAAATTAATGAAGGAATAAAATTCGTGTGATTTATTTATTTATTTTTGTTCCTAAGCCATTCTATTTACTTTTTGTATGTTAACAGTTTCTATCTGTTTCATTCCACAGCAATTTGCTGACCGTATGATAAAAACAGGAGTACGAGGAGCTTTATTAAATGTAAGAGATAATTGTTCTTTCATTGTTTTCTCACATTTTCAAAATAGATAAATAGCTGTAGTTCGAGGCAGGTTTTGGGCTTACATCAGTGAAAGAGCTAAAGGCCGGTAGACGGTACGATTTTCGCCTACAACTATCGTATACAACACGCTCGCGTCTGTCGTAGGTGAGTTGTAGGCTTGATTTACACGCTACGAATCGAGTTGTAGGATGGCGCGAGCATGTTGTATACAATACTTGTAGGCGAAAATCATACCGTCTAAACCGGCCTTAACGCCTCTCACCAAGGAGACCCATGTTTGGTTCCCAGTTTGTTTCCCTTGGCGTCGTGAGCAGAGTTGCTCGTTGCATCTTCTGTGCCTCGAGGGGTTTTCTCCACGCTCTTAGGTTTTCTTCCTACCAACGTCTTCGTCATCATTATCATCATCATCACCATCACAGATCAACATTACCTTCATTATCACCAGCACCAGCACCAGCACCAGCACCAGCACCAGCGACATCAACGTCATCTTCTTTATCATCATCAACATCAACATCATTATAATTACCACCACCATCCTCATCACCAGCACCATCATCATTATCATCATCATTATCATCATCATCATCATCATCATCCTCATCATCCTCATCATCATCATCATCATCCAAACCCCAAATGTCTTCATTCTCATAATTATGAAAATGGGTGAAAATTGATGGTGTCCTTGATTTCAATCTTAGAGGCACCCTACTCCTCTCGCCACACCCTAAAACCTTAAAAATCAAAGTATTGCTAAAACATTATTTCATTTCTTCAGTATGTGATCCGTGCCAATAAACCAATCAAAGGAGAGATGGCGCACCAGTTATACGTGTACCAGGCCTTGATGTTCGGTCTACAAAATGATATGTTACTCACAAAAGGGGGAAGGAACAACCAGGTCAGTTGAACTACGATATCTTTTTTTTTTTCTAATAGAGGCTCTGCAGCATCACGTGACGGCAGCCATGTTAGATGGCAGGAACAATACAATCGTTTTACATGAGAAAGAATTCAATTCCCGAGAGCACGGATTCTATCATTCTGCCATCAAATCACAGGCAGTCCAAGCTGTATTATGGGAGTGGGCACGTGATGGTGCAAAACCTCTTGGTAATAAACGTACCCTGGGGAATCAAAAGTGACCGTTAGCTCAGTTGGTAAGATCGTCAGCATCACATGTGATAAGAGTTTATTGGGTCTCTCCCTTGATTCAAGGGTTTTTCTACCTGGTCTAAATTGGGTTTGATTCCTGCACTCAGCATTGCATGTGAGTAGAGTTTGTTGGGTCTCTCCCTTGATTCAAGGATTTTTCTTCTGGGTCTAAATTGGGTTTGATTCCTGGATTCAGCATCACATGTGAGTAGAGTTTGTTGGGTCTCTCCCTTGATTCAAGGATTTTTCTTCTGGGTCTAAATTGGGTTTGATTCCTGGACTCAGCATTACATGTGGGTAGAGTTTGTTGGATCTCCTCTTTGATCCGAGAGTTTTTCGCCCGGTTCTCCAGTTTTCCTCCCTCTGCTGAAAACCCTGCGGCATGGGCGAGTACAGGGGGTAGTGGATTGGGTGGATTTCCAACCCCCCCCCCCCCCCCCCCCCCCCCCCCCCCCCCCCCGAGAAAAAGTGAATATTTTTATACAAGAAGGAATATCGNGGCATGGGCGAGTACAGGGGGTAGTGGATTGGGTGGGTTTCCACCCCCCCCCCCCCCCCCCCCACACACACACACTTTTCAGAGTAAAAGTGAATATTTTTATACAAGAAGGAATATCGTTGTGTCTAATTACAAAATATGTCAAGAGTCAACAACAACAAGTATGCAGTACACTTCATTTTATAACTTAATCATTTTTTCTTTTGTACTGGAAAAAGAAGGCTCAAAAGAACTTTTTGAAAATTATCCACTCCCCTTTTTGAAATCCTGTATCCGTCCATGCTGCGCTGCGCTCGTTGTTCCACTTGAGTTTGGATCATATGCTGACGCCATTCCATGTTCAGTAAAAGTACAGACCATAGTAAAGGGAGCTTGATTTGCTAAATGGATTCACTTTAACAACCATAACATTGTATGCAAAATCAACTCTGATTTCGTTGGATTGTGTATTTTATTTCAGAGTTTATTAGAAAGTCTGGACATTCTGCGTAAAACAGCCTTTGAATCAGATATTGTTTCTAGTTGTGGAAGACCCTTATCACAGGCTGGTCATCCTGGCAAAGATTTCAAAAGACTTGGATTTACTGTAAGTATTATTTATCGCATGAAACTACGGCACCGACTTAGGCCCAATTGTGGAAAGAAGTTGTCTCGGGGACAAAACTTTTCTATACGTACGGTATTGACTTATAGTACGTACACGGTACGACATGCCGTAATATTGAAATAGTTTCCCATAAGAATGGCTATCGCATGAGTTGGAAATGTACGGTACTGACTTACAGCACGTACACGGTACGACATGCCGCAACATTGAAATGGCTTTCCATAAGAATGGTTATCGTATGAGTGGGAAACATACGGTACTGACTTACAGCAAGTACACGGTACGACATGCTGTAACATTGAAATGGCTTCCCATAAGAACGTTCATAGTATGAGAGGGAAACGTACGGTACTGACTTACAGCACATACACGGTACGACATGCCGTAACATTGAAATGGCTTCCCATAAGAATGGTTATCGTATGAGTGGGAAACATACGGTACTGACATACAGCACATACATGATACGACATGCGGTAACATTAAAATGGCTTCCCTTTAAAATGTATATCGTATGAGAGGGAAACGTACGATACTGACTTACCGCACCGAGGTGACAGCACGTACACAGTACGACATGCGGTAACATTGAAATGGCTTCTTATAAGAATGATTATCGTATGCGGAGGGAAGCGCACGGTACTGACATACAGCACGTACACAGTACGACATGCCGTAACACTCAATTGGCTTCCGATTCGTTTCACAGGGCTTGAAATAACGGTCTTTTAGTCGCGGGTCACGATTACAGGCCCAAATTAGTTTTAGCTTAGACATACTTCATTTCCGGCTGGGTAAACATTTCTGGTCAAAATGACCGGCAAGGCAAAGATTTCACCCGAACCAAAGTCCGAGTTCTGACTGGACATTGTGCGATGGCCGGCCGGTTTTTTAACCCCTGTTTCATGTTGCCATCCAATCACAACACGTAACATACAACAAGTTTCCTATCGTTTCTCTATCGTATCTCTAATCTCTGTTTCTTTTCTGTGTTTTGTTTCTTCTGTGTAGGAATATAATAATCCTGTTCAAGATTTTTCCGAGGTTCCCCCTGGACTTCTACCCATTCACGCCATGCTGTTCTTCGCGAGGAAACATCAAGATCAATATATAAAGGTACGCTATTGACACAATCTCGTACCCAGAGCCTGCGTTTCTTCTAGCCTGCGGCGAAGCACGAGTGCTCTGGCATAATCCATTTTTTGATACCAGGATTTCTTGGACTTTCGGTATAAGAGCGTATACGTTAAAAGACTTGCCAAAAATAAAAAAAGATATGTCCCCTATTTCTAATTCTTATTTTGAACGGAAGTAAATACAGAACTTTGTTTGAAAGCAGGTTTGAAATCATGATTCTCATTGATTATGTTTCACTTCCGGAAAACTGCGCATGCGCCAAAAATGGATTATGCCAGAGCCCTCGTTCTTCGCTGCAGGCCGAAAAAAACGCAGGCTCTATTTCATAGCAATGCATGATAATACTCGTGTTTTGGTATCGTGGCCCGTCAAGTTCCTTAAATTTGGATGCACACGCAACCTTGAGAAAACGGTCAAAAGCATGAAGACGTTTTGACTAATTTGCATACAGACTTGGAGCAGAACGACCAGATCATTAATTCTTTATGATTTTGCAACTGACAAAAATCAGCCAAGCCCTCCCCTCCCTACCCCTTCCTTTTAGACGATAATTAATTACCCATCGCAAAGGAGCATAAATAAGAGATGGAAACTATTTAAAATTGCGCTCGCCCTCTAAATTCACTAAAAACTAGCTCAAAATGACAAACGGAAAGGGCGCGAGAGCGCGCTAGTTGACGCAAGGGAGTAGGGTAAGGCGAAATTTAAACCGCATCCGGTTTCTAAAAATAGCCCAACCGAAAATTTACATGGAGCGCGCGATGTTAAAAAGTTTCCCTCTCTTATTTATGCTCTCTTGCACGTCGCTAAGGTCCATGTCTATCTGATAAATTTATTTTCCCTTTTTCAGGTGGTCCTTGAGAATTTGTCACGTGGTGATGATTACGAATGTCCTTTTGCGCGATCAAGTATCGCTTTGACCAAAATGCTGTGTGAAGTTCTCAAGATCAACGGAGAACCGCGTAAGTTATACTAATTAACGATTAGACCCCTTGTAGCACGTTGGAATGCAGCTTAATTTGGAGAACATAACAATAGGTTTCTTGAGATTGAAGTTCTTTTGTTTTGTCCTCCAAATTGAGCTGCTTTGACGTCACATGCAAAGGGGTCTATTTGGAGGACATAACAATAGGTTTCCAATTCTCAGGAGATTGGAATTCGTTTGTGTTGTCCTCCAAATTAAGCTGCTTTGACGTCACATGCAAGGGGTCTATTAGACAGGCGGCCTGAATGGTCTATCTATATTGACTCACAGACCATAAGGGAAAAAGATCTATTATTTTAGTATAAACCTACTAATAGACCGTATTCGTGGTGTAACAATGTTTTCCAAATTCAACGTGACAAACCTCTGGGGGGAATGAAGAGCTATCGTTTTGCAACTCGTCGGGATATCATCGTTATTCCTTTCGTATCCTTTGGGATACTCATGAATTTTTCGAGAGTAAAAACAAAAGAAAATGAATTCTCTGGAAGTTTGTCACGCTGAATTGGGAAAACATTGTCACACTACGATTAAGGTCTATTGGTCAAATAGATGCATACAAACAATGATAAAATTAGGTTGAAATAATTTATTTTTGCGTTGTTTAAGTTTTCAAAACAGCTTCTTTTCGCAACTATTGGTCTATCACTAATAGACCAATAGTAGCTCAGCCAATCAGAGCGCACCCTTTACGTGCTGTAAGTCGGTACCGCACGTTTCCCATAGTGCACATTGACAGGGCACTTCTCTCTCCCCTCAAGAGCCAGAAACGAGAACAAATCTTTTAAAATTTTTATTGTTGACTTTATTTTTGCAGCTGCTGACTCCAGCGAAGAATACTACCCCATTTTCTTTACAACTGACCATGGCTTCGAAGAGTTTTTCTGCATTTGCATCCAACTTGTCAACAAGACATGGAAAGAGATGAGAGCAACGGCAAATGACTTCAACAGGGTAAGAAAAGGTCGTTCTTGTTGTTGTTGTGCGGATACTCCAACCCCGACTACTTTTATAAACTAGTATCATGAACCAATCATATTGTGACCTTAAGTTCAATTCAATTTCGTGTTTACCTAGTATTTTACTCTATAAGCATCCCCGTTTTAGATTAAAATGACTTCTTTTGGGAGCGCTTTTAAAACGAAAATCAGCAAAGTCAAGCTTTTGGCGTAGCTGTTCTCTTTAGTACGTAAAAATAGGACATTTCACGTCTTACTTTCAGCATAAGACGGCAATGATGCACAACTTGTTTCGTACATTCGAACAAGAGTCTATTGAATAGCGCAATTAGTGCTATTGTATTGCTTGCCATCGGCGTCGTCGTTGCCGTCCGGCAGCTTAAGGTCCCTATTATTATTTTAAGGGTTTCCTCCGGCCCACCCTCCCCCTCCCTCCTTAAAAATAAATGCCCTTTTATAGTAAAAGTAAAAGTTCGTATAATCACAATATATCGTTATGGCTTATTTCCTAGGTGATGGCTGTGGTAAGAGAACAAATAGTTCGATCACTTGGAGAAAGACAACCAACTATGGAAGCTTTCAAGGTAAACAAACAAAATACGCACAAACTTGTTACATTCATGGTTCCCACTCCCCTTAGTTACCGTTGCTATGAAGATCGATAAAATCGTCCACCATAACTCTAACTGGTAAAACAAATCGATCAAAAGTGCTTTACCATTAATAGTTGTTTTCGCACGAACCTTTGTTTTCCTATATAATTTGGCCCTATTTGGTATCCTATGTCGTCAATATATAGAAATACGATGTCATAATTGACGTTGCCACCCTCTTTGCAATATTTCTACATACAAACGACATATGATACCATAGACAAGTCTCCGTAAGTGTGTTACCAAACATGGCGTTCTGAACGGAAACTGCAGAGAGCTTTCGCTTGGATGTTTCGCTTGCGATAAATAAAAGTCTGTTGTAATTTCACATGCTTTTAAATTTATATCTGATTTGTACTGCATACAGAAGAGCTGAACGATGTAGTTCGGTTTAATCCTTTTTTCTTTCTTTCTTTCTTCAGAACTACGTTTTCAATCTCGGGTTTACTCAGATTCTCAAGCTGATGCAACAGGAATTCCACGAGAGAAATATCATGGAACTAAAGGCTCGACCTGTGGTGTAAGTCTACCATTAAATCGTTCTTGCTTTACGAGGGCAGCACCAGTGGCTAACAAAGCCGTGGCCCTTGTTCCATGATCGAATAGTTCCTTATGTCATTCTGTAAATACCGCTGTGTTTTATGACTGAAGACTCATCTGCATGGGCTTAAACTCGCTTAAGAGCAAATCATTTGCAAAAGTCAACTGTAATGTAAAGAATGTGCAGCTTGAACAATACCAATGTTTTGAAATCCTACAGACTTTGAATGGTATCTGTGAATAGCTGACTTATGAACGAGGCTAAGCCTGTGCAAATGAGTCTGTAGTCTTCAAAAACAGCGGTATTCATCCGCGAATGCGAAACTGGTGTATAGGAATTTAGGAGTTGATTTGGGAAGGAGGGGGAAGAAAACCAGACAACCTGGAGAAAAACCCTCGAAGCACAGAAGAGAAGCAACAAACAACTCTACTCACATACGACACCGAGCCCGAGAATCGAACCCGGATTGCATTGGTGAGAGGCGAGCGCTTTTTCCCCTCACTCCTACATCACCCATGCTTCTCTTGCTTGCAGTCCTCTGTTCGGTTTTCATTGCTTTTTTTCTTCTTGTTCTTTGTTCCTAGTGAACTGAAGGAACAAATCCTTCCCGAGTTAAAGAAAATCGTCCGTCGACAGGTAGGAAAGTTTTGTCGCCATGTAAGGTTGAGAGGGTGATTTGGAAAAATGTTAAAATGGAGGCTTTGCACCATCACGTGATGGTAGCCATGACAGGAGGCAGGAACAATTGAATCTGGTCTAATGTGATTTATATGAGAATGAATCCAGTTTCCCAGGGGAGAACACTATTGTTGTGCCTCCGGTCATGGCTGCCATCACGCTATGTTGCAGTGCCTCTATTGGAGAGTATAGGGGCAGAATGTTTGATTGTCTAAGTTTTGATGTTGAAGAATGGTGTGCAGAAAAAGGCAAAAGTAACTTAGGTTACAAATAGACCAAATTCAAAACTCGAACCGATGCGAGGCTTAAGTTGTGAACAAAGGAATCTGGCGTGATTCGTGACTTTTGAATCACGCCAGATCCCTTTGTTCACAACTTAAGCCTCACATCGGTGTGAGTTTTGAATTTGGTCTATACTATTCATCAAAAACTCTTAACCTGTTGTCCCATCACCATCTCAGTGTCTAGAATTAACAGTTCCAACAGGATTGTCTAATGACTGTTTTTTCTTTGCTTGTTTCTAGAGATTGGACCAACTTATTGAGGGCAGGGTGTTTGATAGACAAGCAAAAAGAAGTAAGTCGGTAATGATGATGATGATGACGATGATGACGATGACGATGATGATACCGGTGCCCACCACCTTAATTCATAAAATCGGGGCCCTATTTTGAACCACTGTTTTGACCTCGCCCCTAAGTCAGAGACAAAATATTGGACAATCATAAAACCTAAACCCTACGTGCTGATTGGTTATTGGTTTGGATCATATTCGTTTCAGATAAGTTCTGGTACTGCCGTTTGTCTCCCAACTTGAAGTTTCTTCATTATGGTGACTGTGAAGAAGGACAAACCCCTTCACTGGAAGCACTACCTAACAAATGTAAGTCACTAGAGAATATATATAGACTATATATTTACTATATACTAGAATCGCCAGGGCACGGGTTCAAATCCCGTTTTCTGAGTCTTTCAATTTGCAGCTGCATAAGTTGCTTCCTACACTGTGAGGATCAGCTCAATTTCGGATACATTGCAACCGCAGTACAAATATAGTTCATATATATTCTCTTACACATATAGAAAAATATTAAAAGAATAGCTAGTCCTCGTTTTACTAGGGTAGTAGTTAATAGCTAACAAACCCGTGGCCCTCCATGATAAAGTCAGCCGTAATGTAAAGAATGTGCAGCTTGAACAATACCAATGTTTTGAAATCCCACGGACTTTTAATGGTATCTTTGAATAGCTGACTTATAAACCAGGCTAATCCTGTGCAAATGAGTTTGTGGTCTTCAAAAGCAGCAGTATACATCGAATGYGAAACTGGTGAATTGGAAATCAGCTGTTGATTTTTGAGGAGGGAGGAAAACCAGAGAACCTGGAGATTAACCCTCGATGCAAATCTACTCGCATTCGACACCGATTTCGGGAATCGAACACGGGTGGCGACAGCATTTCCTGATTACGGGTCGATGAACAGAAATCTTTGGTATGTCAGGTATTTTTAGAGCTTAGAAGAAGAAGAAGCCAGATAGAATAATCTCCGTTATGAAAAATACAAAAGGAAGTCCTCAAACTAATGTTCTGCTATTTGTCATTCTTTTTTCCAGTGCCCATTTCAGGGATCAAGCAATTAGTAGTCGGTAAAGATTGTCCTCATGCACGAGAGAAGAAAGTTAAGGTATGTTACGTTTGAATCTACGTGAAATTAGAGCGGTTTTCGTGAAAGTTGAAAACGTACGGTACTGACTTACAGCACGTACACGGTACAACATGCCGTAACATTGAAATGGCTTCCCATACACGGTTCGACATGCCGTAAAATTGAAATCGCTTTCCATAAGAATGGTTATCGTATGAGTGGGAAACACACGTTACTGATTTACAGCACAAACACGGTACGACATGCTGTAACATTGAAATGGCTTCCCATAAGAATGGATATCGAACGGAGTGGGAAACTACAGTACTGACTTACAGCACAAACACGGTACGACATGCTGTAACATTGAAATGGCTTCCCATAAGAATGGATATCGAACGGGGTGGGAAACATACGGTACTGACTCACAGCACGTACACAGTACGACATGCCGTAACATTGAAATGGCTTCGTCTGGTTTCAAAAACGTTTCTAATCGGTATCAAACTATTATTGTTCTTTTCTAGGCATATCTACTTTTCTCACTTACCTTTGAACGTGAAGCCGGAGACGAGAGCTTAAACTTTATCGCAACCAACCAAAAAGTGGTAAGTAAAACAAACACACGACTTAGATCAGACCAGAGTTTGTCTCAGGGTTCGATCTGTAAGTTACCCATACTCTGACTGTTTCAGGGTTTGATCTGCGAGTTTCATGTTATTGATAAAATTTAGGTTTAGGGATTCAGTTTTTCAAATCATTGTTTTCAGTTTGATATCTGGGTCGATGGATTATCAGCGCTGCTGAATAAAGAGGTTTGTACATGTTAGGCTATCACCTAAAGGCCGGTTTAGACGGTACGATTTTCGTGTACAACTATCGTATACAACACGCTCGCGCCATCCTACAACTCGGGGTATGCGAGTCGTAGCCTGTAAATCAAGCCTACAACTCGCCTACGACAGACGCGAGCGTGTTGTATACGATAGTTGTAGGCGAAAAATCGTACTGTCTAAACCGGCCTTAACAATGCTCACAGTTTTCACACGTGACTTCGTTAAGTGAAACGTCAATAACACGACACGGCAACGGTACAGAATTAAAGATGCTTGATAAACAAGGGAGGGGGGTACTCCCATATATGTACTATACGGGGGTGATCCGCTGAACAGGGTATGGTTTTTGGAGCTTCTTGTCATAAACAGGGTATGCAATTACTCAAGTTCCAAGCTCTTCCTGAGTTTCCTGTCATATCCAGGGTTTCTACTTTCGTATTGACCGAAACTGGTTATTATGGTCGTAAAAAAAAAAACGATACACGAGATGACATGATAATTGAAACAGGAACTCAATACAATAAAATTATATCTTTTGTCAAAAACAGGGTCTACAAATTTGAGGTTTTTTCATCATAAACAGGGTACCCCTTTCAGAATCTCAGCGGAACACCCATACCCAAATTCTGGCGGAGTACCCCCCACCGGGGATAAACCAATTATAAAGTACAAAATCACCGTAGTATTCGACCATTTCGACTAAAGACTTATCTGCTCAGGTTGAGCCTGGTTTAAGAGCAAACCATTTGCAAAAATCAACTGTAATGTAAAAAATTTGCAAGTCAAACAATACCAGTGTTTTAATACCTTATGGACTTTTAATGGTATATGTGAATAGCTGACTTATAAACCAGGCTAAGCCTGTGCAAATGAGTCTGTAGTCTTCAAAAACAGCGGTATGCTTTGAATGCGAAACTGGTGTATTCACAGAAACACTTTTTTCACAGCATCACAAATCTATGCCATTATGCTCTATAATTTTCGTCTTCATCATTGACTTCTTTTCTTCTGTTGTCCTAAGATGCCATCCAAAGAATCAAAAGAAGATTTGGAAACGCTGCTCAATATGGAGATCAAACTTCGGCTCCTAGATCTGGAAAATATACAAATACCAGAGAGCCCCCCACCTATTCCTAGCGATCCACCCAATTACAACTTTGTCTATAAATTTTAGGGAATTTACAGTGCAACTACTATAACCAGGGCCACCTAGACCAGTTAGACAAGAGAACCAATTAAAACGTAGAATGGAAACAATGCATTCCAACTTTGGGTAGTGAAGCCAATCAGAAACATAGACAGCACCAGAATGGTAATTTGACCCTGATGTTACTCGTAAGCAAATATAGCCATCGTCATTTTCTCGTGGGAATAAGAAAGGCTATTGTTGAAAGGCTATAGTTTTCTGCTGCTTTCTGATTGGCTCCACTTCCCAAAGTTGGAAGATATTGTTTTTATTCTGAAATTTGATTGGTTCTTGCTGTCTAGGTGGTCCCCGTTATGGTAGGGTTTTTAAATGACACAGTTAAACTGGTTCGTACATAATATTTTGATGGTAGTAAGAAAGACATTAGCTTTAAAGAGATCTTGCACTATCACGTGCCCACGCCAATAATACTGCTTGGGCTGCCTGTGGTTAGATGGCAGAACAATAAAATCCCTTTGCTCTTGGGAATTGAATTCTTTCTTAAAGCCGGTTTAGACGGTACGATTTCCGCCTACAACTATCGTATACATCAAGCTCGCGCCATCCTACAACTCGAGTCGTAGCGTGTAAATCAAGCCTACGACTCGCCTACGACAGACGCGAGCGTGTTGTATACGATAGTTGTAGGCGAAAATCGTACCGTCTAAACCGGCCTTTAAGTATAACGGTTGTATTGTTCCTGCCATCTAACATGGCTGCCGTCACGTACTGGTGCAAAACCTCTTTTCATTGAATATAATGCTTATTGATTTTTCTCATGCGGCGGCCATGTTGGTCGCAAAAATAGATTCCTCTGCGTAGACTCGCAATCAAGGGTCACGTAGAAACCACAGGGTGCCCAACTACCCAAAGGTTTTCATTATTGGTGGAATAGGCATGGTGCCGAGTAAGGCCTGTTTTGTCTTGAGTGTAATATTTCTCCATTTCAGACCATCTACCATTCTCCTGACAATGACATTCATTGTTTAAGCCCCATGTATATTGATGTGCTTCCTGAAGTATTACCATAAACAAAGGAATGATACTCAAGGGTATAGTATGTGGTCTGTAATGGGGAAATGCTGCATCTGCTGATTGACCCTTATATAGTAATAAGATGTACAGAGCAATAGAAGATGGACTTAACCCTCGATGAGAATCTCCTAATTCTTTGATTGCACGTGACGTCATCGCGGCCATGTTGGCGCCATTTAACGCAAGATTTCTCATTAGCATCCATTGTTAAYGGCACCACAATGGCCGCCATGTTTTTGTCTTTTGACTCTCTTATGATTGCTTGCAGCCCATCAATAGAAAACTTCACTGTTCCTTCGCCATCATGAAAGGCTACCATTCCTGTGCATCAAAGCGAGAACAGCAGTGATCTTCCAATTATAGAGATCCTTTTAACACCTTAGACAGACACCGTTTTTAAAATTGTCTTGAATGCGAGGTTAACACAGAAATACGAAAGAATTGCCACAAATGCCAGCGAGAAAAAGTGTCATTTCTTTTGTAATTACACGTTAGTCTCGCATCCAGGATACTTTTGAGAAGGGTCAATCCACCTTTTCGGCGCTAGCTTGGATTGTGTTACGGTCATCAAAAAGTTCGGACATCGTTCTCGGATTTCCATACAAATTCACTGACTTTAAAGAAAAAATGTAGATAGATTTCTTTAGTTAGCTCTCTTAACAGCAGTAAGAAAAGCTTCAATCAAGCTAGAAAAATGTTTAATTACTTGTATTTAGAGAACTAACTAAACATTAACCAAGTAAATAGTTCATTTAGAGTSAGTACATTTGTATGGAAATTCGAGAACAAAGTCCGAATTTTTTGGCGACCGTAACACGATCCAAAACAATTTATATCCCGTGACGACTAGCGCCGAAAAGGTGAATTATTCACGTCTCTATCATTGCAAGGCTACTGCAGTCCTAGCTTCAATGCACAGCCACGGTTACCTTTCAAGATGGTGCCAGGAAGTGGGGATTATCGCACTTTTCTCTTCCTAACTTTGCCTAACTTGTTAATAATGACAAAAAGTGTTTTTTACATTTAAATTTAGCTTTATGTGATGATATGGCTTCTTATCCTGTTCAGACTGCGACAACCACATGTATACCTTAAATTTATATTTTATATAATTTTTTATTTTTTATTCTCATGAGGAAATACAATTTTGAATAAGAAAAAAACATCGCCAAGCATTTTGGTAGTAAAATGATCCCATATAAACAGCCTATTGATGTAGTTATATATTTTTTGTGTCAACTGCAGACATTAAGATGGTCATTTTTATCAGGAAATTTGAAATGCCTTGCATGTCTCTCCCTTTATCTCAAAAAATAAATATCCCTATAGATAAGAATTCTTTGTTTATTTATGAGAAACATTTTAAGCTAGCATTTTAATCCTTTTTTATATACTTTAGACACACAATTTTATTTTTATATATCAACAGTAAATAGACATTAAAATCGTATTCTAAGAGTATGACTAAATCATTATTTTATCTTATTATCACT